ATGTAGAGTCATACCTTTTGTATTTCCATGAACTCTGCGGGAGTTCTACAACCGGACCACGATGCACGACCGTGTGATGATGACTCGCCGACTCCATAAGTTCAAGATGAAGGAAGCGGCGACGATGGCGAAGCACCTCGACAAATTCGACGAGCTCATCGTGGGTCTCCAATCGTTCGGTGAACCACTGGACGATGCCCGTCAGTTAGTTATATTGCCGAGCAGCCTACCCAGCGTGTTCGAGTTTATCTCGAGAACTCTACGGACATCACGCTGATTGAGGCGAAGGAGAAGTTGCTGAAAGAGTACGAGCGACTGGAAAAGAAGGAAACGTCGGAGCGCGCGCTGAAGGTCACCTTGGATGGTGGCAGGGGCAAGTTTGTTGAACGCGGCAGGAACAACGACCGCAAGGGCAACAACACGAAAACGAATGGCGGGTTCCGGGGCAAGTGCTTTAGTTGTGACCAGGTCGAACACATGAAGCGGGGCTGCCCGAACAAGGTCGACGGCAGTGATGATGGTGCAGTATTCGCGGCCAGCGATTTAAGTCCGGTGAATGAGTCAGAAGACTCAGTGATCACCAATGCCATGGCTGACACTGCACTCGCTGTTGGCAAGGATCGATCGCCGAGCTGGCCGATACCGGGACGACCTCTTTGAGTATGTGGTCGTGAACACGAACATTGAGGTGACCATCAGCAATGGTAAGAAGCTGTGCGTGACGAAAACCGGGTCGATGCGCTTGAAGGACATCGACGGCAAGCGCATCCGGATGATGGAGGTATTCCAAATTACTGGCCTCGATTGCCGACTGCTGTCGGTGGGGAAGTTAGCAAGACGCGGGTTGAGCATCGAGTTCCAACGGAATTCGTGTGTTATCTGGGGCAAGTCGAGTGCGTTTGCCTTGAAGAAGAGACTCGGCAAGGCCTACGTGTTGGACTGTCACCAGGAAATGGCGCGATTTGTCGAGTACAAGAGGTCAGTAAATCAGTGGGAGCTGTGGCATGCTGCATGGGGCACCCCAATGAGGACGCGTATGCGAGACGCAGCGCACAATGCCCGGGATGCCAGTTGTCAAGCAAGAGGTCAAGACTTTATGCGGTGGCTGCATGAAGGG